TCCACACCTCCAGGCTGTCACTTGAGGGGGCGTGCTGCAAGAACCCCCATTCCACTCCTTGGAAGCAACTCCTACATAGGGGGCACACAGTCTCCCCACTGAAGCAGATTTCCTAGCCATGGGAGAGGAGGTCACAGCAGGGACAACCCCCTCTGTACCCGGGCCCAAGCCTGAAGTCTCAGATGGGGCCTGAAGAGGGGCTTCCAATCCCTCCTGTAGACTCTGGGCTCTGCCCCCTCCCGGTTTCCAGGTCCCCCTTCTGCTGACTCCATTTTTCCACTCAGCGGGAGGTGGCTAATAGTGACCCCGTGTGAGGGAAGGAAGCAGGCCAGAGCCACCAGCCAGCTTGAGAGGCAGCCCAGCCCCCAGCCCCAGCTCTGAACCCCAGCAGCTCAGTGCTCGGAAGCCTCCCCGGGGGGAACCCACCTGCCACTCCTTTGTGGCCTGCCTGGCAGGGGGCAGGAAGGGCAAGGCAGGGGAGGGAAGGAGCCAGGACTGCCCAAAGGACAATGCCCGGACCCCCACCCCACATGGGTGACAGGAAGTCAGAGTGGTCCCAGGCCCCCAAGCCCCCACCCACTATGTCATCATCTGGAATTCACACTACAGCTTTGGGAAGCCTCACCCGTCTGGGCCCCAGGCACCAAACACTGAAGCAAGAGAGTCTGAGGGAGGCCTTCCCGAGAACCTGAAGGCCCCACAGTACCAGCCCCGCCCCAAACCTCCCCGGAGACCCAGCTGGGCCCACCGAGACACACATGACACAGGTCTGGACAACTAGGGCCCTCAGTGCGCACCCACAGCACGGGACCCACCTCCCTGGGCGGGGGCAGACACCCAGGTAGGGGCTTTTCCCTGGGACCTGAGATTAGCCTCAGAGTCAGGCCCCTTGGGAAGAGGTCAGGGTGCCCAGGAGGTTTCCACACTACAGTGGGATGCTGCTCCCACCCCTCCTGTCCCTCCTTCCTCCCTAAGATCTGCCCCTCCCAGACCTCAGCGGGTAGCTGGCTCTAAGGACAAGACCCTCCCCAGCCACCAGGACCCCCAGGCTCAGGGATCTCCACACCCCCGAGTGCCTGGCCATCAGCCCGCCTGTCACCCACCCCGCTGAAACCCAAGGCCCTCAAACAACAGTAATTATCCCATGCAAAATATGACTTCCGATTTCCTCTTTACGGTCTAATTAAACAGATATTTTACTTGCATTCGAAAAATGTTTTTCTTAATTTGATTCAATTTAGCATTGTGCACAACCCACCCATCAAGCCACCTGGGTCTTAGGGGGTCTCCCCACTACTTAGACTCACAACTCTTCATTTTTCATTCCGTTCCCTAAGTCTCTGAGTCACTTTAAGTAATCCTTCCATTTTCTCCCGTCTGGTCCTCTCCTCGGCACGGCCAGCGGGGCTCAGCTGATCCTCCCACAAAGCAGAACAGGAGCTGGGCAGATCCCACACCAAGTGGGGCCACCATGGGAGGGAGAGGAAAAGGAGACAGACCCCCAAACCTCAGGGACAATCCTTCACAGCCCTCACTACCCCATCACTAGGAAGGGGGAGCCCACTGGCAGGGCTGGGGGACTATCAGAGCTCAGCTGGGAGCTGCTTGCCCACCAGGCCCTGATGACCAAGTAGGGTCAGAGTGCGATCAGGAGCTGAGACCCAGCAGCCCCCCTCACCATATCCCCCGACCACCTGCCTCGGCCCTCCCCCCACAAACAAAGAGCCATGGGAGTGGCCACGTGCAGCCACCATTTCCGGAGTTGACAACAGGTCCAGGAAGAGACTTCTGGCTGCTGGGCTGGAGGCTGCCCTGGGGGTCTGCTTGTCGAGGAAATTCCGATGTCTCTCTCATGCCATGGGGGGAGGGTGCAGGGTGACAATTTTCCAGCCTGGAAACTTTTCTGCTATGCCAGCGGCCTCTGGGGCTCCACCCATCCAGAGGGCCTCACCAAAGGCTAGACTTTGGGTCCAAGGCCCAGTCCTGTCCCCCCACCACCCAGAGACCTCGAGGCAGAGCTCCCTGGGACCTGCCAGGATATGAAGACCACCACTGAGGGTCACAGCTCTGGCCCCCACCTCCTCTTTAGTCTGGGAGGGGGGGCCAGCTCACCCAGCACTGACCAGCACGCATCCAAGTGGCCATGTGCCAGGACCAGCCAGCTGGGCAGCTTGGGGCACAGACATACTCATTGAGACCTTCTTCCCTCAATGTCCAGCCCTGTCCTCACTCATCCCATGGTCAGAGCAGCAAAGAGGGTCAGAGATTTGGAGGGGGGGGTGGGGACTGATTAACAAGGACACACCTGCCACTCGCCGCTCAAAGTACCACCTGCCACTCGCCGCTCAAAGTACCCAACACCTAGAGGGAGCGTGGGTCACTGGGCACACTTTCAGTCCAACGCTGATATGAGCTATATGGTCAAGCGGGCCCCAGCTCAGAGAGACTCCACGCACACCAGAGCAAACTGCTGCCCAGGCTGGTTTTCAGACAGTAACTGCCAGTCCTTTCTTCCTAGTCTCTCTTAGACTGGGATGGGAGGAGAGCTGACTATGGCCATGGTCCTGGGCATACCCAGCCTGTGTGGTAACAAGGCTAGGGGGCCGGGGCAGAGTGGGGACAGGGAGTCCAAGACAAGACATTTAGTCCAACCCCACAACTCAAGACCAGGGCAGGGTGCCTGCCTCATGGGACCCAGCTCGCAACACCCAGAAACAGAGCAGCCACGAGCCACCTGTCATGAGTGGGGTCAGAGGTTGACTCAAGTGGCATGTGAGGACACCCAACCCAAGTGGACGCGGCAGGCAGGCAACTGGGCACCAGGCCATCAGGACCATAAATCTGTCTACCACAGGCTCCTGGCCAAGCATCACCTACCCTGCCCTCACAGCCCACCCACCAGCCTGCCTGGGATGTTGCTAGGAGGACAAGGGCTGAGGCCTGAGCAGGGAGCAATCCCCCACAGCATCCGACCTGCACACATCCCTCAGCTACCCCTAACTCCCAGGGGCCATACCACCAGCTTAGCTGCCAGCCAGTCCCCAACGTGAGATAGCCTCACTGTCCCCATGGACTAGCAGGTCACACTAAGGTCAGAGGCATCAAGCAGCACATAAGAGGTTTATCTTTATTCTGCTCACTGTATGTTCATACGATACGCTTTTGTACCGTAGCTTCCAGGGACCACACAACATACTTTAAAACAAAACCATGGGACTCAGGGAAGTATCAACCAGAACAAACAGAAAGGATCAATTCTCAGAAGACACATTAGAAAGATCCCATACAGTTGGCAGAAGAGTACATTTGGCTGTGAGCTTCCTGGCAGGCAAAGGGAAAAGAGGAATTAGACTTCCTTTACTACTTAAAATAAGAAACAGCTCTCTGGCTTCCAAATACAAGCTCCTTCCAGGACACTTGAGGGGCCTTTGGGAGAGCTCCAAACCATTCCCTTAACAAGCTGTGACAAACCCTCTGGCAAGACTGGGCAGAACAACCAGCTTAGTTAGGGCCAGAAGCAAAGGCATGCAGTTTCAGGTACAAGGGTGAGCTAGAGCCTCCCCCACCACACCCCTCCACCTGCTGGCAGAGGCAGGAAGACCAGGAGCCCAGCTCCATCCCTGAACACATCCCTGACCAATGGAGCCACCATCTCCAGCAAGACACAGAGCTCATGCCTGGAAGCCTGCCGTTCCTGAGCCCAGCCAGGTGCTGACCTCCCTCCCCAGTTCTGGTTACTCAAAGACAGCGGATCCCATCACCAAAACTAAATCCCTGACCACTGCCCATAACTCACTCTCAAACTCCTGGACCAGCAAAAAGTGGATTTGCACAAGAACCGGCTGGGTGCCAACCCACACTGAACCAAGGGAAAGCCAGAGTGTGGGCCGGGGTAATGAGCTAGATCACCACTCACTGAGGAAGCCTCCTCCGGCCTCTGCCCCTGCTCGACTCGGCCCCCCATGTCCAGAGAGAGCACCCTCGGGGGCCCAGCTGCAGGATCAGTCCCTCCTAGCTGAGTCATCCAGTTCCCTGCCAGCTGGGAGACCGCCCAGCAGCTGCCCCAGGCAGTGTCCGCCCCTCTCACACCTCCTCTGGCTGCCACCAAGGCCCGCCACCGACACCTGGGCCTGTCTGGAACTTGGGCCAGTCTCCAAACACGTGGGGGGGCGGCAGCCACAGGCCCAGCCCCAGCCAGGGACCTGGGCACGCAGACATCCCAAACCCGCTGCACTCGGAATCGGGCACAGCCCGGACGGGAGGTGGCCCAGGGACCTGCCATCCCATGCCAGCGGATTCAGGGGTGGGGTGGGAGAGCTTCCTGGGGAAAATGGGATCATACCAGAGCTGGCGGAGGGCCACCCCTGAGCCACGAGAGAGAGCGAGAGAGAGCGAGAGAGCGAGAGAGCGAGAGAGCGAGAGAGCGAGAGAGCGAGAGAGCGAGAGAGCGAGAGAGAGAGAGAGAGAGAGAGAGAGAGAGAGAGGAGTCGGCAAAGCTGAGAGCCAACAGAGTCCGTGAGCGCACCCCTGTCTGCCAACACGCCCGAGCTGCAGGTGGGCAGGGATCCTCACTAGTCCAGGGTCAGGCGCACCAACCAATTCAACACCTGTATCAACACGTGGAATGTCACAGGGTCTCCGGGGAAATCTTTACCTCCACACAACACACCTGGGGCAAGACTAGAACAGGTGCCCAAGGGGGCCCTCCCAGCGCCCGCCACCACCCCCACAGCAGGGGGACAGTCCTTCAGGGGAGGGGTCACTCTGAGTGTGAGACAGAGGGCAGAGGCCAGCCCCGAAGCCCACTGGTGAGCACTCCCAGTGTGGGAGGAAAGAGCCAACACTCAGTCACTCCATAAATGTCTCTGAGGGCAGCCAAGTGCGCATGGCGGGATGGCCTCACTGAAGGGAGTGCTGGAGGGGGCTGGGGGAAACTGAGGCACTAGAGCTTTGCTGCTGTGAATTGAAAGGCAGTCAGGGTGGAATATAAGGAGAGTGAGTCCACGGGGTTCAACCAGACACCACAGGCCCCCTAAAACTCAGTGTACCATCAGCCTCAAGTTCACCCCTTTACAAAGAGTCACCATAGCAGTGAGGGGGCACACAGACTGGGCAGGGGATCAGTGAGGGGGCAGACATGGGGTAACTGTGGCCTCCCAGAAGGCCGTAACACCTGCCCAGGCTCCCCCACCACTGAGACCAAGCAGGGGTCCTGGAGCAGGGATCCTTGGACGCAGGTCCTCTAACGCCAACCCTGGAGGAGGCCCGAGTCCCCGGGTCCCAGTTCACCTCTCCTCGGACTTAGTATGAGACTTCCAAACCACGTCCCTGAGGGGGAGACTGAGAGAGGCCTGAAATAAGGTGTAAAGTGTTGTCCTCAAGGAAACTCACGGAAAAGCCCAGAAATGCCAACACTATAGATAGGCCCAACGAGATGGATTGGCACAGTGGCAGCAATTGTGAGGATGGCACAGCACAGCTCAATGGCACCAAACAACAACAACATGGTCTTGACAAAAGCCCAGGGTGTCTCTGCTGCTCACTCAAAGTTTGGTGGTTCAAATCTACCCCACAAAGGTGCATAAGAAGAAAGGACTGGCAATTTACTTCTAAAGCATCCGCTCCCTGTGGGGCACAATCCAACTTTGACACACAGAAGGCTGCCTGGAGTCTGGGCACACAGTTCCGTGTGCATGTCTCATAATACGTGGGGCTCACCTCAACGCACCCCCTAGGCTCTCAGCTGGGGGCAATACAGAGCCGCTGCACAAGCCCCCCCACCTCAGTCTTCCCCAAGAGAGCTCCCTTCCAAAACCAAAACTGAAACCAGCCCACATCTGCAACCTCAGCCCCAGCCTCCTGAGCCTGCAAAGTTGAGCGAGTGTGGTGTGGGTCTGCCAAACTCTGGAAGGGAACAGGCCTATGTCTTCCTCTGCAGAGCACTTCCATCCCAGCTGATCATCAAGGCCCGCCAGAGTACAGAGCAGGGCTGCCAGGCAGGAGCCTGTATGGAGGATTCCAGGGGTCAGGGAGGCTGGAGAAGAGGGTAAAGCACACGGGGGAGTCAGAGGAGACAGTAGGCAAGTGCCCTGGATGGTCAGAACCATGTGCAGGGAAAGGTCAGTGAGGCCTCAGGTGAGGGTCCCAAGTCCATTAGGGATTGCTGCTCTCAGTCACCTGCCTGGACCCCCACGGGGGCAAAGACCACTCCCAAAGTCAGGTGGCAGCTCCAGACTTAAGTCCTTCTCTCTCTGACCACCATGAGCTCCGATGGGCACAAAGGCATCTGCCCCAAACCACCTTCACTTTTGGTGCCTTGAAGCCCACTTAGGGGTCTGCTGGGCAAAGAGTTGCCAAGTCAGACAATACAGACAGAAAAACAAGAGATCTCCATTCTCCCTGTCAAAAGTAAGGGAAGAGATTTTGGAATTCACTTGGATCACTTGCAGTGGTAAAAATCTTTCTTTGTCTCATCAATAAGTATGCAAATCTAAGATATCCTGGCAGCCACTTTGAAATGTAACTTCAGGTCATCACCTCCAGTGGCCCAAGCCCCCAACTGCAAATCTACCTCCAGCAGTAAAGATACCAGGAAAACCACAACATTATCTTGGACACATGGAACCAACTCCACTCAACTCTATGAAGGGCTGACTTTGTTTCTATCTTTACGGCCACAAAGGTTCCAGGGAGTAGATTTGGTTTTAGTAACTCTTTCCCAACACCTGCCCAGGCAGCGGATGTCAGCAGGTCTACGGGACAGCGCACTCCAGATAGCTCACAGGTCCTCTCACCTGGCTGGTGTGGAAGAGCTTTAGGCCCGCATACCCCACCACCACCACCACCACAGACTCCAGATGAACCAGAAGTGGGTGCCAGGGGCAGAGGCCAGGCCTATCCCCACCCCATCAACCCAGCCAGAGTGCACGGGCCCTAGCTGCCCAGAGTCTCACCCAGCCCACATCCTACAGCACTATATTTAGATCCATGGGAAGAGGTGAACTTCCCAGGAATTCTTTCCTGAAGACTGAAGGTCAGGAGGGGCAGACTTCCTCTGGAGACCCCCACCTTTGCATGTTGTAAACTTGCAGGCACATTGTTCCAGGGAACAATGGACCCCACACCTACCAAGCCCCAAGGGCTACAGAAGCTGCCTGCCAGAGCTGCAACTTGAGGACCCCACCCCATGTTCTATTTCCCAGATGGGTGGCCGGTGGAGGGGATGCCAGGTTTTGGGGGGGTGCTGGGTTTTGGGGGGCATGCTGGGTTTTGGGGGGTTCTGGGAGTGAGGCAGGCAGGGGCCGGCCCACCCTGGCACCTCCAGGCAGAGGCCCAGGTGTATGATTTCGATTTCTCGACAGCTGGCTGGGGGCCCAGGTGCCCCAAGGGCAACAACACACCAAGTAACCTCTCCCTGCTAATTGGGTAGGGGCTGTCCCCGCCCTGGGTGGAGTCTCCAAGGTCTCTCTACCTCCCCCCTCATAAACACAGATGTGGTTCCAGCTGTGAGACATTATGAGCTGCAGGAGACACTTCTGCCCAACCCCCCTCGGATGGCTCTGCTGAAACCCCTAGAACAAGTCTACCCCTCCTCCACACCCTTGGTCCCGCTAGATGAGGACAGATGGGGTCCAAAGCATTTGCAGTCTGAGCAACAGGGCAAGCAAGATTGGAACCAAGGGTTCCTAGGTCCACACGGACCTGCCCGGAGAGGCCTCCCAGGGAGGGCTCACTTACCCGGAGGGCTGTCCCCGGCCCACTGACCAGCTTCCACGCCTGTCGCTTGAGCTCGGCGAGCTTCGTGTGGCAGTGGCGGCACCAACCGCCTCCACCGACTGAGTGGCCCTGCTCGGCGCCGGCCCCGGCGCCCTCGGGCGCAGGTCGGCCGCCACATGGGTCCTGGTCAGGCCCCCCGGGGGGCAGTCTCTTGAGAGGGGGTACCTCCAGCAGCGGCAACGGCTCCCTAGTCCGACCGCCCTCGGCCACCTGCGGGAGGTGAAAAGAAAGCGAAAAAGGGACAGTGAACATGAGCTGCCTCATAGCGACCCGCGCCCGCAGGCCCCAAAGTGACGGACTAGCCAAAGCTGGGGGCGCTGGGCACGGCTGCCACCCACCCTTTTCCTCCACCCCCGAAGGTCCCGACTTGAGGTCTCTCCCCGCAGAAGACCAAGCCGGCGCCCCTGCCCACCCCGCGCCGGGCCGCGCGTACCCCGGGCTGCGCAGTGCACAGGGGGGCGCCGCGGCCCCCCATGGCCGGGAGCAGAGCGGCGGGCGGCAGCTACGTGATGCGGCCCCGAGGCTCCCCCATGGCCTGGCCCGCTGAGAAGTTGGCGCAGCCGGGACGAGTGGCCCCGAGCGCGCGATGGTGGCTGCAGCGGGCGCGCTCGGGGGATGGGGCGGAGCTCCAGGCAGGGCGGGGCCGACAGGGCGGGGAGCCCGAGGGCCGCCCCGCCCTGTCCTGCCCACTGCGGGGGGCAGGGAACCAGGATGGCGGCCCAGCCTCCCGGTGCAGCCCCTCTCACCCGAAGGACCCCAACCTGTTTGGTGAGTCCCTGCATGGAGCGGGGGGGGGCAGACAAGCTGCGCGCGCACGCGTCTCCCCGGGCTTATCCCGTGACCTGGGGTCCACGTGTCTCCTCCGAGGCGCTGCCCCACTCCTCACTTTACAAGTGGGGAAACCAAGGCCGTGGAGCGCAAAGTCTTGCCCAAGGTCACAGGTGCGGAAGGCTGACCCCGGCCCGACTCCCATCACTTGTGTCTGCAAATCCACGGCTTTTGGCTCCTCGCTGCAACCCTCTGGGTCCAACTACCGCGTGTGGGTGAGTGTTGTTGGGCCCTGTACCCGCGTCGCTCTATTAGTGTCGCGGCGTGTCTGCAGCCCCGCGTGTGCTCATCTCGGGGCGCGCGCCCTGCAGCGCCAGGACTGGAAGGAGCAGGACCTGTTGTTACCAGGCCTGGCACATGGGAACTTAGCTCCGCAATTAATTGCCTCTTTGTCTCTTGCTGGGAGGTCGCCCCCTCGGCGACCAGTTGCTCCCGCCCCAGGCTGGCCTCTAGTGTGGCCGCCGCCGACATAGGACTGCCGACAACTGGGTCCCCACTCCCAAGTCAGTTGGAAACTGGGTCCGGCTCCGCGACGCCCGGCTCCCGTGACGCGAGCGCCACCTGCCGGTCCCTGCGCGCCCGCGCCCCACAACTCCAGGAGACGCGCCCCCAGGCCAGAGAGAAGGGGCGCCGCGAGGGCGGGGGACACGCCGACTCCCTAGAAGACCTGCGTCGGGTCAAAAGCGATTGCGGCCCGCAACCTTCCCGAGCGCACACAGAAACTCTGGTGACTCGAGTCGCTCCCGCCCTCTCCTGAACCCCTCAAAGCGAGTCCTCCTTCTTTACGTTTGGCCCACCCCCTTTCATTTGGAGGGTCCGCCCCGCCCACGCACGCACTCCGGAAGAAAAGAGGGTGGATCGGATCTTCGCCTCTCCTGGTTTTCTGAGTCGTTTGCGGAAGGGGGCGGCTATAAGGAGAGCCAGCGCTCCCCACACTCACTCCTGAGACCCCACAGCCTTCAACCCCTGCACACCCAGCCTGGGAGGAGGGGGGGGCAAAAGGTCGTCCCCTCCACATCTCCTCCGCTCCCCATCCCAAAGAAAGCGGGTGCAAGTCTCCATCCACTATTCTCCTCTGTCCTCCACCCCTCGATTGCGTACTGACAACTCTGCTCCCCGCCCCCACCCCCACCCCGCAACTGCTCTGGGGCCCCCTTCCCCCCGTCCCGGCCCGGGAAGCGCGCCTCACACACGGCCTTTACCACCCACCTATACACACGCGCACGCACACACTCCATAAGCACCTCCAGGACACGCCCGCCACCGGAGTCCTGGTCCTGCCTGCGCCCGTGGCCAAGCCACACCCGCAACTTCAGTTCTCCATATGGGTGCAATGCTTTGGGACACCTTCACACTCAGGTTCTAGAGGGACGGTGACGCGGTCCCGTATGTCCCGCTGATGCACGCAGGACCCGGAATCACCTCAGGGACTCGGTAGCAGCCGAGGACTCCCCATCCCTGTTTTGCCCACCCTAACAGGGCGCGCAGGGGGACCCTGGCTTCCTGCGCTGAGCTCTCCGCCCTCTCCCACTATCCATGCCAGGTACAGTCGTCCCCTTGAAGGACAGGGGAACCGGGCAGTGGGGCCGCAAACCCTTAGCCCGGGCTGCGGGCGCCCTCAGCACCTTCCACCTTCTCCCCGCATCGCACGCGGAGCCACGCGAATCGCGCGGCAAAGTGGCGGGACAGCCCTGATCGCTCCTCCCGCCGCCTACCTTGCCTCGCCGCCGCAGGAGGTGGCTGGTGAAGCCCAGGATGATCTCTGAGTCCAGGCAGAGGGCCCCCATCTCCAGCAGGCTGGGCGCCTTGCGGGGGGCGCCGCGGGGCGGCTCGGGCGGCCCGGGCAGCGCCATGGAGAGCGCAGCGCGGAGCAGAGCG